AAAACATGTTCAAAATCAATAACTTCAGGGAAATACAAGTCAAAATCACAATAAACTATCACCTCATATCTGTTAGGATCTCTATTATTTATTTTAAAAATAAGAGTAGACAAGGATATGGAGAAATGTGAACTCTTGCACACTATTGCTGAAAATTTAAATTGGTGTATCCACTGGGGGAAGAGTATGTAGGTTCCTCAGATATTAAAAATAGATCTACCACATGACCCAACAATCTCAATTCTGAGTATATATCTAAAGGAGTCAACATTAAGATATTAAATATATATCTTAATTTCTAATTCATCTACAAATGTATTATTCATAATAGCAACCTAAATGTACACAAAAGTGTTGTGTTTGTGTGTGTGTGTGTGCGCGTGTGTATCATACAATGGAAAGTTATTCATCCTTGAAAAAGAAGGAAATGTTACCATTTATTAAAACATGGATAGGGTCTGGGGATGTGGCTCAAGTGGTAGCGCCCTCGCCTGGCATAGGTGCGGCCTGGGTTCAATCCTCAGCACCACATACAAACAAAGATGTTGTGTCTGCCAAAAACTAAAAAAATAAATATTAAAAATTCTCTCTCTCTCTCTCTCTCTCTCTCTCTCTCTCTCTTTATAAAAACATGGATAAACCTGGAAGATGTTATACTAAAGTGAAGATACAAAGGAACAAATATTTTAGTATATCACTTACCTGATGATTCTAAAATATTGAGACTCAGAACTGGTGAACAAAATAGACATTGTCATGACCCAGGGGGAGAGGAAACAGGGACCTATTAGTCAAAGTACAAAGTTTTGCATACTTTAAATTTTTCTAAAATAGATCTTATATTAAGTGTTCTTAACATTCATGAAAAATAATACAGTGCATGAGAGGAATATTATTGAGATAAATGACAAGTTTATGGCATTGATTGTTCTGATAGTTTCATTGGGTTTGTACTTACCTCCAAAGTCATCTGTTTTAGTCAGCTTTTTCGCCACTGTGACTGAAAAGACCTAATAAGTACAATTAGAAGAGGAGAAGTTTATTTTGTGGCTCACAGTTTCAGAACTCTTAGTCCATAGGTGGCCTACTCCATTACTTAGGGCCTAAGATGAGGCAGAACATCATGGTGGAATAGTGTGACAGAGACAAACAGCTTAGGGCATGGCCACCCAGAAGAAGTGAGAAAGAGAGAGCTCTCCTCATCACAACAAGTATAAATCCCAAAGGCACCACTCCAAGGATCTACCTCCTCCAGCCACACACTACCTGCCTATAGTCACCACCCAGTTAAACCCTATCAGGGTAATAATGCACTGATTAGGTCAAAACTCTCATAACCCAGTTATTTCACCTCTAAACACTTTTTAGCCTTGATTTACACATGAGCTTTTGGGGAACACCTAACATCAAATTGTATACATTGTATATTTATAGCCTTTTTTATGTCAGTCATGCCTCAATACAGTGTTTTAATAAGAAAGAGTAAATCCAATAATTTAATAAATGTTAATTACAAAAGGGAAATATGGAGTACCTTAAAAGTTGTGCACTTTCACATGCTAAATAATTACAGTAGCTAGAATTTAATCCAATAAAAAACTTGATGAACAAGAATGGAAGGTACTAAGGTTACAGAAGTAAATATTCAAATATTTGAAAGTAAAAAATGTGTTTCTTCAATAACACCGAATCTCTGTCTTTTCAAATCTATTTTATTAATTTAAATATATGTGCTTTGAACATAATATAAAATAAGCATTATTTTCAGAATCAAAGATGTATGTCTAGATATTTACTTATAATTATGTAACTTCACTTTTAAAAGCATCTTTTCATTCTCATTATACTTACGATTTTCTAGTTTTCTGATCCAAGCTGATATCTTGGATCCCAAGTAAAATTTAACTAACTCACAAATTTAGCTTTAACAATTATTGTCTTTATATACTCTCAAGGATGCATTTTGAAAACTTGTGGACAGTTGCTGATTATTTTCTTTTAAATCCTTCAGTGGTACACCAAGAGAGACCCTGAAAATAAGAATATAACTTGTTGTGGGGCAGGTCTCTCAGAAAACACATAAAGTCCCAGTTTTGTCCAAACCAGAGTGTTTATTTAGCCAGCTGGCTGTTGACTTCTCCCCACAGGATCCATAACTATCTTTGCAAGGAACTGCCCCAAGCCTGAGCATTTTAGGATACTTAAAGGCAAAAACCACATCTGGGTTGACATAGCTGCAAGCAAGCAAGTACAGAAGCTGAACTGGGCAGTTAGTGAAACAATGCAATGGGTACATTGGTATTTCCCAGGGGACTTTCCAGGTTGGCATAGCAGCAAGCAAGCAGAGGGAAGTGGCTCAAAATGACTTTAGTTCAGTATATGTTAGAGAATGGTTACTTATGTTTAAATAATCAACCATTGACAAGGCACATCACCCAAGAAAAATGGAAACCAAAGAGAACAATTTTACATTGTATAAGAATTACTATTTTGTGTTGCCAAGTATGTTATGATAGGTAACTATTAATGGGTACAGAGGCAGGGCTTTCCCATGGGAGAAGCATTTCTTACTTAATATGGAGTCTCATGGTAAAATGGAGAATGGAGTCTGTTTGGTCATTGCCCATATAGCCTGGCCCATAACATAACTCATCAGTTGAATAAAAGATCAAATTTCAGTGAGAACAACAAAGAAACCATTACATATTTTCTATTGCTTCACTGTGCTTGATTGTGTATTTATCTAAAAACATATATATTTAGGCACTGCATTGAAGACTTACCAAACAGAATTTAAGGATTTCATAAAACTCTTTGCAATATAGACATGAGGCAATATAAAATATAGAAGTTATAAACTAGGTCTCTATACTTTGAATCAAGTAAGGAGATACAGAAAGATAACTAACAATATATAACTATATGCGTCACGTGAATTTTGTCACTCAGAGGTTTTCATTAAATGATTTTAGAGCTTATTTAGCACTTTAACAAGCATGTTTAAGAAATGGACTTTTACTCCATCTCTTCTCTTAAATAAATGACCCATGAGATCACTGCGAGATTCAGTTTCCTTATCTGCAATACAAAAATATTGAACTAGATAGCTCCTAAATTTTTTGTGTGATAATATGATATGATTCTTTATACCTTAATATTACCTTATTAATATTGATCACTGACTTTTTTCAATATTATAAAATAGAATTTGCTTACAAAAATATATACATATTAATATTTGCTATCTTTTCTGTAAATTAAAAGTATGTGGGGACTCTTGTTCATTAATTTTCTTAATTTGAGTGTGTTAAGACACTTATTTTATCTGAAACTCCTTCTCTACAAGAAGTTTAAATTTTGTCAACTGTTATTTTTTATCAAGTAGAAGCCACTTATTGTTTACAGAAATTCATATTTACAATATAAATAGTGAAATAAATATTAATTATTGTCAGAATTCAATTCTGAGGAGTTTATACAAATTCTAAAAATTTTTCTGATACATTTTTCATTAAGATTACTCAGCCCTGTTTTTCCTGGGAAGGTTCTCTTTGATTAAATCATTGACATCATTATTTTCTGCCCAGAATTACTCTTGAGGCCAGGAGAGGTCATTTGGAGGAATTCAGTAAAGATAAATTAAATATGGCAATAAAACCTCTGGGATTGTAGAGAATGTACACATGTATGTCATCAGTTTATAAACTAAAGCAATTTTCTTTCAAATCATTTTTTGCCATGATTTAGAGACAAACCATGTGGTGAATATTTTGATTCACTGAAAAATTTTTTTGCAGGGTAGAGTATGGATCAACAAATTAAAACTGTATTATTCTCCAGAACATTCAGAGATAGGTGTACTAGGCTGAATCTGCTTTTATTTATGCTTTTTGTAGGGATTTACTCTGCCTCTTAGAATCAGGATCTTCTAGTGACAATTACATTTTGTTTTGCAACAACTGATATTCTCCATATTTCTTGGACTTGCATTTTACATGGTAGAATAGATCTTGCAGAACTCTGAAATACTATTTAAATAAATCTGCCAGATTTTTCTCCTATTGTTCAGTGTAATAATCTACTAATAGATGGTTGAGAATTTGGAGTATATCTAAAAAAAAAATAAGTTGAATTCACCAGATACTTTGGAGGGCACAGTTGGAGTATGGGTTCATCTACTCTTTTTACTACTTGTTCCCTTATATATTTTTGTGGTACTGCCTGATATAGACTTTCTAGGAGAAAGAATTTCAAACATATATGATACCTTTTCTTTATTTCTATTCTTCCTTCATAATAATAAGTGGATTTTTAAAATAACTTCCATACAATACGAAATAATATAATTATACCACAGGGACTGATCATAAAGATGACAAGCCATTTTTTTCACTTATTTGTTTCCTCATTTTATAAGTATGAGGTATGTAAGAGGGTGAAAGACCTACATGAATGCTTCCTTCTTCCCTGCTCTAGGCTGAGTCTCCTAGGCTAGGCATTCTATCCTTTAGCAGAAGTGTCAAGAAGAATGTATTGTAGAAAGGGTTCCTTGCAGCATTTCAGGGCACTTTCTCTGATAATATTGTTTTAAACTACTTAATATTGTTGTTTTCATTAAGTGAAAATTAATGCATTAATGAAAATTAATGCATACTGAATTCTGTTTAAAACAAAAGTCCAGAGTTCTAGGCAGATACTAGAAAGCATTATCAAAAGCCTTAGAATATTTCAAACAATTGGCATTTTACTTATCTCTGTTTTTCTGTGTCTTAAATTGGAGATCAGACCCATACTTATCCTCTTTTGTAAATTTTAATGCTGTCCATTGTAATATAAAGGAATTACATTTTGAAAATTACCTTATTAAAATATTCATAATTTCAACATTGATTTTAATTTTGGCTTGTATTGTATAGCATAGTCCTACTAAATAAATGTATTTAGCTTTTAATTACATTAAGAAATGGTCCCAATTTTAAATGGGATGATTCTGGTTTTAGGTATAACTGCTGCAGCAATGGCTGAAGCAATGAAACTGCAGAAGATGAAACTCATGGCTATGAACACACTTCAGGGAAATGGAAGCCAAAATGGGACTGAATCAGAGGCTGATGATCTTAATTCTAACACAGGTAAGTATATTCAGGGATCCTGAAAAAGTGACTGTCCTTTTTTGAGGGGCGGGGGAGAAGTGGAATTACGAAGGAGGAAGAAATATATATACGTTGATTACAAACAATTGCTTCAGACGATACTTAACCCTATTGATAACTTGTGCACTGAATCTAGAAAATGATTAGAGATCACAATCTTATTTCAGAAACATTCCATTATCTCCATTGTTTTGTTGCAGTTGAATTGAATTCTGATTTGTACAGTGCTAGTCAATCAATGTACTTTCTGTATGCTAAAGCCTGCCCTATTATTGCAGCTTCACCCCAGGTTTCTTATTCCATTTGTATCTAAATAATTCATATTTATTAAGTATACACAATGTACAATAGTTAAACAGCAATAGGGCAATATGTTGGTACTCTGAGGACAGAAGACAAGAGTCACTGGATTTCAAATGTGTACAATCTAAGGAAAGAGATAAAAATATACATATATCCTGGTGTGGTGGCACATGCCTGTAATTCCAGCAACTCAATAGGCTGAGGCAAGAGGATCACAAGTTTAAGGCCAGTCTCAGCAACTTAGCAGTTCCCTAATCAACTTAGCCAGACCCTGTATCGAAATAAAAAGGGGTGGGAATGAGGTTCAGTGGTTAAGCAACCCTGGGTTCAATCCCAGGTACCCCACCCCTACAAATGTAAAAATATGAATATACCACAGTGAATTTCACCTTTATGTGTAGCTCTAAAATACCAGATAAAAACTGTAATTAAATTGAAGGAAATCAAATACAGTACTGAAAGAAGAACAGGGGGAAGGAGGAGGGGAGGGAAGAGGAAGTACAGGGCACTTCAGTGGAGCAAATTATATTTCATGCATATATGTTTATGTCGAATGAACCTAAAGGTTATATACAACTATAGTGAACTAATAAAACATGAAAATAAAAATGAATCAATGTATAAAATATACTCTTGAGATAAAATGTGACAAAAGCAACATGATAAATAAAGTACTATGAGAATATAAAGAGAAGAAATTTCTAAATAAATCAGAAAAATATTCATGTATACGGTGAGGTATTTGAGTAGGAGATGATGTTAAAGTGAAACTCAGAAAATGGATGGCTTTAAATGATGTTTTAAATAGATAGGACTATTCCCCTAGGTAACCATTTCTAAATTGTGGTTTTCAGAATCTCTTATATTGTGTCTAAGATATTGAGGAAATTGTTGTGTTTGATTACTAGTAAGTTTTAATAAACATTTTTAGGTCAACTCTAGAGCTCCCGTTATTTACAATGTTATTGACAAAGATTTCTAAATTTGAATTTTGGATGTCTTAGTGACTTGAAATAATTAAGCCTTATCCCACAGATGATACTTTAGGATAAGAAATTGGGTCATCAAGTAGCTGGGTAAGGAAAGAGCTAGCACTGAGACATATTCTCTTGGTCTTTTTGTTTAACCATTATATTTCTTTAATGTTTGAATTGATTTTCTAGTATAATCTAAGGTACATAGTTTCTTTCTTTGGTATTACATCTCAATCAATAATTCTAGACAAGGAGATGCGCTGGTAAAAGAACTTGTCCTTAATTTGGTATGACCCATTTTCTATTCATGATTTAGTCTAAAGTGTATTCTGGATATTATAGTTTTGACTATATCTCTGATAGTTTTTTTATATTCTCTTTTTTTTTTCATTAAGTGAGGTATAGAAAACAAATGTTTCACTAGATTTCTAAAATTGTCTCCAATAATCAAGTTATAAAATTTCTGTTAGACCTACAAATATTCCAAGCAATTAAATGCTTTAAAATTTTGCTTTCATTTTAAATGTAAGCTTGATGACTTAAATCCCAGCTCTGAAATTGTGCTGAGTGAATATTTCCCTTTGTTTTCCTCATGGGAAGCTTTTGTTTCTATAAGGCACAACTAAAGACAGAAATGAATGGTCTCTGTTCACTTCATTTATTTGTGGCTATATGGACATTTTACCTGAGAAAATTTTGGCTTTTATAAGCCATTTTCATTATGATCTATGTGACCAGAAAAAAATTTTAAAGGATTTTTCTTCTTTTAAATTTCAGATGGTGCATGTTCTGTTTTAAATGCCATATTGTGACAGCATTGCTATTCAATTTCATCACAGTGACTAGTTGCTAAATCTCCAGAAGGCAAATTATAGCAGCTATAAAAAGATACCAAATATTCAATTAAAATATTTCTGTTGGTGTTAATATGTTTACCTATCTTGACATTTTAAAAAGAATCACATTCTATTTTTTTGCATATTCCTTGTAACTTCTTATTCCAATATCCATTTCCATTGACTCTTGCCATTTATTTATGGAAGTCCTAGCATTTATTTGTTTGTGATAGATTTTTATCAAAATATGTATTAAATATCATGTTCTACACACTTCAATTCCACAGGAAAATGTACAAAAAGGAAACACATTCCTAGAAGTTATAATATCAATCATTATTCATTTTCTTCTTCACAAAACAACCAAAGTAGTCATAGTTCCCAAACTCTTATGATCTAAGAAAATAAACAGGACACTGACCTGAAAATGTAGGAAGCTTGTGTTAAATTGAAATGGAAGAAAAGAAGTCTCCCTTTGGAAGTTTTTATATACCCTCATATTTCATTGAAATTGATATTTTTGATGGATTCTGTAAGAGCAGAGATAAGAGAGAGGATAATGGAATTAATAACATTAAGCTTTAAAAGGTAAAGCAAACATAGATGTTAGAAGATTTCTAGGCAAGAATAGCATTTTCTCTTTTGAAGACAGACCTATAGTTTCTTTGATTCAAGGTTTTGTTTAATAGCTTCTGTAATGGCTGCACCATGACTCTGCATCAAGATTTCAGCATGAATAACAACCTGTTCGTGTTTCATTTAGCTCCAAATGAGAAATTCTGTCTTTTATTGTTTTAGGAAATTAGTCTGTGTACTATTGCTCCTGTAGCTTTATAATTAATCACTAAAGGTTATGGCTGTGGAGAGTTTGTGGGAAATAGATGCCTGAATGATTATAATTGTAGCTGTCAAATTGGAAATATAATTATAGACCAGCACGTCCTTTTTAAAATCTATGACAAAAACTTTGAGGGTTACCCATTTACATGTAGAAATACATGGATTATTTTTAACTGTGTTTCTTATTTCAGGAAGAACTGTGCACCATAAGTCCTCTGGAGAGTCTTAGACTATAACCATGTAAATCTTTATCCTCTGAGTCTCTGCTTATTCTGACTTTTGTGTTGATTTAGCTTCTGTGGAGCAGATGTTTTTTGTCTTTTAGAAATGTAGAGTATTTTGTCTTTTAGAAAATACAGTTTACAGTGGAAATAACTGAAGTTGGTTAACTTGCAAGTTTGAATTTGAAAATCCCAAGATTATCTTTTTTCTTTGTTATCCAAACACCTCATTAGATATGGAGCAAGATGTTTCTAGAGAATCAAATTAGGCACGCTTGTTTTTATTAAATCTTGACACCAAAAACTGCTTTTAGGTTTTCCTCTTAGAATTGTAAACTTTTGCTGTTCTTTTCTACTTCTGTGCCTCTGGCCCCTTTATAAGAAATGTAAACCAGGAGAGCTTATTGTATTTTTCAAGACCCTTTTAAAAACTTATTCCAACAGGAATTATTGTGTCTACTCTTAATACTTCATGTAGTAGATTAAGGATTTATTGTTTTGTCAGTGTTATTAAGGTAAGTTTCTATGAAAGTACCTCAGAGTTAAGCCTTTGCATACCTCTTCTTCACAATGAATAATTTAAAATAATGTCTTCTTTCCTTACAGATCTTATTTATCAACCCATAATCATTCTAGTATTTCATTCAAAGCCTCCACCTTCCTCTTGATCTCAGATAGGCTATTAATCCAAAGTGTTAAATGCCAATTCTAAGGGAGGATCTAAGCTGTATTGAATTTAATTTGCTTTCTGTGTCTTATACTTCTTGAATGTGTCTGAGATTTTGTACATTTGAGCTAGATTCCTAGCTCTATTACAGTTTTGTTCTGAAATTTTAAACAAGTCTCTTTCTCTTCATACCTTAGTTATAATGAATGAGTTTTGTATAATTATATTGGATTTAAGTTGTAATTATCATTTTTTTGTGATTCTTGAACCTCATTGGTTGATCCCCATCTTCTCTTTTTATTCTTTTCACTTAATGGGTACTCTTTTGAATCTAGAGCTCTTATAGTCCACACTATTTCTTTCTTTTGGGGGAGGGGGCGTACCAGGCATTGAACTCAGGGGCACTCAATCACTAAGCCATATCCCCAGCCCTATTTTGCATTTTATTTAGATACAGGGTCTCCATGAGTTGCTTAGCACCTTGCTGTTGCTGAGGTTGACTTTGAACTCACACTTCTCCTGCCTCAGCCTCGCAAACTGCTGGGATTATAAGTGTGCACCACCGTGACCAGCCAACCTATTTATTTCTTACTGGGTCTTCCACTCTGTGTTGTCACTTCAGATTCTGAACAAATCCTCAAAATTTTTACATTGGTGTCTCCTGATCAAAATCTGCTCTATTTTTCAGGCACTAATAGAAATGTCTTCCCTGCACTTGAGATCTAGGAGACTTTGCTGTATAATTGTCCATAATTAACTTTAATCCATGGGTGACCACTCTTTGACTGTCCCTTTTCTGCCTCCTATCTCCTGGGAACACTATCTAAGTGTGTGACCTGTTTGGATATTCACAGTTTATTGATGATCCAATTGTTTAGACAGGTCTCAAAAACCTTGATAAAGTCAAAATAAATTATATCTACTGCTTCACCTTTGTTTCTCAGGCTGTTGTTTTTTCACAGAAGGGAGATTAGATTTGCTTAAAAAAGCTTGGTCTTTAGGAAGCCATGCTGGGTATTACCCATCATACTGTTCTTTTCAAAGTATTTGGAAATTGATTAGTACTACATTCCAGGACATATATCTTATTTTTACAGACTACATACGAACAGATAAAACAAATACCAGAAAAGAAAAA